TCGTGCCTCAAGTACCACACTATAAAAACAATGAGAAAATTGGAATAACCATGCACCGAATAGCTCAATCCACGAGCTAAAAATTCACACTCCTCATTCGATAAGAACTGGCACCCAAACGACACTGGAGCGACCGAGCTCCTCATTTACTCAGGTCACAACCCACACAATCATCTATGTCGCAACAAATATCGTACCATACCAATAACCTTCATATGCCCATCCGCATACTCTTATATATGCATATATATATATATATATATATATATATATATATATATATATATATATATATAATAAGCGGGACCTACACCTTAACACAATCGTGTCCTATCACATCAACTAAAATAAATGCCTACTAATTCATTATGTAAAATTAAACGTCCCGTTCATCATCATCCTTTCATAAAACACACGATTGTTTAACCGTGCTCGACTATCCGTCACATTACTATGCACAATTACCATTAACTTTACTATTTAACGCATGATTACACAAACCGTGCCTATTACTTGCCATTATACCATGCACCTTACACTTGTCATCTCATTGCAATCAACATGCTTTCAATCATTTACACATTTCATTGATATGGCCATGTAACATACATTTTAGCAATTAAACACGTAAGCATGTGAACACTTAGAAAGTAAGCATACCCTTTTAAAACCGTAAACACATAAGCACGTAGTACATAGCACATAGTCAATATAAGTCAACCTCTCACCCCGTCTAGATAAGCCACCACCCGTTGTTCGAAAGGTATTCTAACCTAAAGCTATGATACCAAACCTGTAACAACCCAAACCCGAGGGTCTGGATCGCTAACCGGGTCTTAACCCGACCCGAAGTCATCCAATGGTAACACGCTTATTTCGCGTTAAATTAATACTTTAAGGCCCAACAAGGGCAAAATAGTCATTTAACACACACACACACACACACACATATAATGGTTTTAAAACCCAAAAAAATGGGTAAAACGGTCTTTTAATAAGGTCGTCCAATGATTATGATTATATCTGGGGGGTAATATGGCCATCCCCATGGCTAACAAATGGAACTTGGCCTTGTTGTTGTTGTGGTTGGTGAATGAATGGCCTAGGCGTGTCTAATGGTACTTGAATGTTCTCATGATGCACATTTGGATGGAGGATACCTTGTTGGTCTATGTGACCAAGGTCCTCTACATGCTCTTCATTATGGCCTTCCATTGATGTAAAAGATTGGGTAGAACTAGAACTTTCTCTTCCCCTAGGATTTCTAACTACGGATTCAAGATGCAAATCAAAAGGGATAAGAGTTGGTCTTAGTGAGTTATTGTATTTTATTAGATCACATGGTGTGTAACAATATCCTTAAGTGAATGGAAGAGGGCAAAAGTGGAAAATAAATTACAAGGGTAAAATAACAGGAACCGGTCGATGCCTAACACATACACGTCGACTAGTTTGAGTGAATCGGTCGACGTAAACCTTTTTCACGTCGACCAATTTGAGTGATTCGGTAAACTTGAACCTTTTCACGCCGATCGGTTGTGTCTTGTACAGTAGAAAAACCTAATGTCCAAAATATAGAGTTACCGATCGACGTGTAGACACTTACACGTCGACCGAAACTTCCCAGGTTTTGATTTTCTTTTTCTTTTTTGATCCGTAATTTGCTCAACCAATTTTTGTGCACAACTATCCCACAATACAACCACTAAATAACACTAAAATAATAATATAACACCATTATATATATATATATATATATATATATATATATATATATATATTCCCAATAATGATTTAATTCATACATATTCAAACAAAACTACATTAATATAATTTTAGGCCTATCCACACCCATGTGTTATGAAATACACAACTACATCCATATGTGAGGATTTAATAAGATTGAATTTAATTACATCCTAAACTTGGTCAAAATGTGTCCAAAGGAATAGCCACTCATTGTCATGGTGACAATTACAAAATAATACATTTTTGCTCCATTTCTTACAAATAGTACATGGATTACTAATGATACAAAAATAATGGATTCTTCAACACCGACTACACATGTGGAGGAACATTGTCGAGTACCTCCTTGCCGTGACCTGAAAAATAATAAAGGAAGGGGTGAGCATGGAGGCTAAGCATGAGATACCTAAGGCACCAACTTTGTACTCCCTTGAGCCACACATCACACATACGGGATAAATAGGCAACCGGGATTATACTTGGGGTTTTTTTTATAGCATTTAATCCACAAATCAATAACCATAATAGAATTTTGGCATGTCAATACAAATATGCATAAAATGTAATGCAATGCTCCACATTCTCCCAACCTTGGTCTCAACCGACCCCAAATTGGCCTACACCGACCCTAGACTTGGTCTCTACCGACCTCAAACTCACATTTGAAAACCGCTAACCAACTTTACTGAGGCGAGATTGATAACTGTCCCTGGTTCCAAATCCGACAACCATTTGGGACCTAATATCAACTTCTTCACATCCAAAACCGGCACGTGCTCCCTTTAGGTCAAATTAGCACCGGACTCGCGAAATCCGATTCCTTCTTTTAAACACTATATAAAAAGTCCTTGCATCTAAGGCAGAAAATGAATCTAGCCGATGGTTCTTCTTATTCTCTCTTTTGCACAACTGCCTGAAGTCAGCCACCAAAAGACATAGTTTAGTGTTCAATAAGTATTTACAAACTCTGGCACGCTCGTAAACTTCATCGGCTGTATGAGCCCAAAAACGCGCGAACAATATATATATAGTAAAGAAAAATTTAGAAATATAAAATATACATATTGTGTTTATAATATTATAGTAATAAATTTAAATAAGAAGAAGGGAGAAAAATAATAATAAAAGAAAAAAATGTTACAACACATGCATCATATATAAGTGAAAAAATAAGAATTTAAAGAAGTAAGTGTGTGTCTGTGTGTTGGGGGAAGAAACATGAGAGAACTTAAAAAAAAAAAAAAAAAAAAAAAAAAAAAAAAGGAGAGTTTTATTGAAGAAGGGAGTTATATATATATATATATATATATATAGAGAGAGAGAGAGAGAGAGAGAGAGAGAGAGAAAAAAAAAATCAAAAGAATTTGAAGAGTAAAAGAGAAGAAATAAAGAAATAATAGACACATATACACATACATAAAAGAGTATATATCCATTGGCCGTGGCCGTGCCAACCCTCACCCTAGGGGCGGAGCCAGGATTTTATTATTAAAGGCATGGTATAAAAAATGAAGAGAAAGAAGAAGAGTAAGAAGGAAAAGAAAGAAAAAATTAGATAAATTTATAAAATAATAATAATTTCAATGGACATTATATAATATTTTACAAAATTTTGGAAGGACATTATGTGATAATTTATAAATTTAAGGGTTAATTTCACTAACATCCCCTCAAGTTTGGCCAAAGATCACATTGAAATATTTTTTAGAAATAACTATTACTTAAGTCTAATTTTACTTTTCCGTCAGTGACATCGTTACAAACGTGCGAAAAAACAAATATACCCCTAACTTTTTAATATATTGTATTTCAAAATATTAACAATTTAAAAAGACATAATTGCCCTCATTAATTACTCTCACCCACCCCTCCTCACTCTCTCTCTCTCTCTCTAACTTTGCTGGCACCATTTTTAGATTCTTCAAGCTTTCCTTCTCTTTAGTGATTAATTAAAGAAAAATAATAATAAAGATAAACAAAATAGAGAGATGGAAGGAAAAAAATACAAAAAATATATATTTTTTTAGTAATATGTAAGTATTTCATATTACTAATACTAGATGATATATATACATAAACCCCAACCCCGTTTAGGCGGTTTTGGGTGGGGATGGGAATGGGGTGAGGGGTTTCTAAATGGTTGTAGGGGCGGGAGAGGGTACACCCGCCCATAATTGCCACCATTTCCATCCCTAAACATATGTATTATAATTGGAAATTCTGTAAAATTTTCACTAATATTTTGCACACAAGTTACCATTAATTTTCTTTTAACCCCTTTTTCTTCTCAAATTTTCCCTCACAACTAAATATTTGTTTTTGTTTTTGTTTTCGTTTTCTTGGACCCTTTTACTATCTAAATTAATAGCTTCTATCGCCACTCATCAATTTCATTCCTTTCTATTATATTTTCAGTCACTTAAATTTTTACTTTACAAACCTAATAGCTTTATAATAAAATTTAAATCCGTGTTTGGGTTGTACCAAAACCACAAGTCCAACCTTCTTATTCAGCCTCACTAAAAATGATTTATCTTAAAATTCACAATAAACAATAATATTAATAAAATTTGCAAAGATAACAATCTCATTAGATTTTATCCATTTTTACATTTAAGTGAACCTTAACCCATATTACTAACTAAATAATTCAATGTAAGAATAATTCACTGGGCATGCCAGAATTCGTCGAGAAGGCAGGTTCGGGACACCCTCGCTATGCATATTTTTTAATAAAAATAATTCGAAGTTGAACAAATTTAAGACAAATTTTGTGAGGAAAAAGAAAAATTATAGTCAAATATTTAACAGTGATAATAACAAAAATGTTGTTAAAATTTATAATTATCATAAAAAATAAAATAAAAAATTTACAAATTTTAATTAATACAAAATTTTATTTATATATTAATTATTAATCATAACGGATTCCGAACTTTGATGATCTTAGCGGAGGATGGGTTAATTTGATATCACTAATAAGAATGCAAACAATGTCTAATTGTGAATGGCTATTCTGATCAAGAGATTGTAAAGAGTAAGGAATTAATGAACTTCTTTTAAAGTATCTGTGCCATTGTAAAAAGGTCTTTATGTACTTTTTCGCTTTTAGAAGAATCCAGACGAATCTCTGAAATTTACTTTAGACAAAACTAGTGCTTCTTTTGGATTTAAAGCCTGCAGAAGTATGCAGTCTCGTTTGAACTTTGAAAGCATCCTATGGAGGGTATTCTAAATCTTGGTGCTGTAGGTTTTTTTTTTTTTTTTTTTTTTAATATCATTATATCTATTTTTAATATATTTATATTTATTTACTTTAGTCAAATTTAATGTATTAAAAATCATCATTATATTTATATTTACTTATTTTAATCGGATTTAATGTATTAAAAAATTATTACAGTGTGTTGAAAAAGAGTCCCGGGTCCCTACAAAAATACGTAATTGGTTAGAAGGTCCCTTGCCGTTATGTTTAGATAATAAAAATTAGTAAAATAATATACACTCCGTTCTAAAATAGTTAGGTACTTTGAAACTATGAGTCACACTTATATAAGATACCCAACTATTTTGAAACAAAGGAAGTACTTAACAATTTTTACTTTACATTACAATCGACTTGATATGACAATTAATAATAAAAATATAAATATAAAAAATATTTTTATTAAAAATTGACAACAGCTCTTATTGAACTCTTTATATATATTTTTTAAGTATTCTAAAAATTATAAACTATTTTGATTATTGTGCCTCGAAGGTTAGCATACCAACCGTCAGGTAGCCATTCTGAATGACACTTTGGCAAGTTCGCATATGCTACTAAATGGGTGTGTACCTCAAAATGGGCACCCGCCTGACTCGTTTGAATTTCTTAGAAATTAGATGAAGGTGATTAATAATAACATGAAAAGGACCATCTTTGTTTATGCTCCCCGTGGAGATTCGCTATTCGCTATGATACCATCTGTCACTCAACTCGCTCACTGTGTAAATATTATTCACTTTGCGTACTCTCTATACTCACAATTTTCAAAGCGTGTCTAGATTGTTAGAAAGTATCTACACATAGAAGTGCCAATAACCTCTTCCCTAAATCCTATCCCCCAAATTATGTGGGACATCCAGATGCACTGTGCACATGAATGGTTTAGAACAAATTGAGTTATACTTTTCATAATTTCTTGGTAATGGTAAGTACAATCACATTTTTTTTTTTTTTAGCTCGACAATGGTTAGTACTTATTCGGGGGAGGGGGAATCCAACTAGGATCAATAGGGTGGAAGGCACTTTAGGCCTGACCCTTTTCCCACTTGGACAACACTACCACAGCTGTACAATGACAAATTCATGCATACAAATTTTGTTGATATTCTACCTCTTATACAGTTATATATGTACATGTATATAGATGGAGAGACTGTGCATACCCAAAGTAAGATCTGAAAAACCAGAAGAACAATCAAAATTAACAGATGCAGCCGCTTAGAATCTAGGTACAAGGTACTAACTATGCATAATACATGAACAAGCTATTCCCCGCAGAACAAGCAATCAAGTTGGTTCTTGGATGCCAAGCGAGATGCAGTAGCTTAGAATTTAAGTTGCAAGAAAATTCATTATTTCCCGAACTAGCATTTTCATACCCTGAAAAAAGAAAGGTGCGATATTTAGCTGAGATTAAATTGAAAATATATCCACGATCAAAACAATTAAAAATGTATTAAAATCGCAAAAATGCTGAAGCTGAGGAAATTTTTTAAATTTTGGAACTGCAACCTTCCCGGGAAAATGCACGTGACAAGCTGCTTAGTGATGACCTTCTAGCTCTTGGAGCAGCTTGGAGATGTGGCTTCCTGCATTTTAAGGAGCAAAAAGAACAAAAAACACGATTGAATGTGATTGAAGCAAGATGAGTATGGATATCCTACTGTAAAAGTAAGTATGGGTCTCTACTGGCTTATGGTATCTGATGAATACTTGAAAGCTCATTTTGCAGAAATTGATTCATTTTGATCCCAATAATAGAAGAACCTCAGCTTGCCACAATTTCTACCAGTAGCGTCCTTTAAGTTTTTCAGTATAGGGCCACTTTATGATCCATTGTTGATTTGATGATCAACTTCCTCCCTAAGGGAGCCTTTTTCTAAAAACGGATCCCAACAAATATAATGTCTTTGCAAATAGATTCAGCTTTCAGCATGCAGGGTGAAGAATTTTACTCCAGTTAAGATGGGTTGTCCATGAGTGCCCAAACAACCCTTGTATACAATATGCTACTGCTAAGAAGTGAAGAAAAACCATATACAGTGTTGGTCTCGTCTTCATGAGGTACTTGGACGGGTGGACTGACTAGTGCACAAAGTGGCTGCTTCAGACTCAAACCTGCATTCTCATGCTTTCCAGACCAAGTGTTTGCCCATTTTTTGGCAAGTGACCAAAATTTAACCATTGCATAAAGAAATGACCCCTCAAGTATAAACAATAAAATAGAATTATATTATTATATCACAGGCCAACTTGAAAATGTGCTTTTTGTGCAAAGAGGAAGCTATATAGACACAGACACGCGCACACACATTGGTAATGACATCCACTAACTAGTTAGTAGTTACTGATCACAACTTAGAAAGGATCGGGCTAGAACCATATTGATAATTTACTAGTCTTAATCTATGATGTTAACACTAACTAAAAAGCAGACAAATCTTTCAAAGAACTCCTAGTGGGGCTGCCGGGCGATGGTCTACACAGATTGAGAAATGTACCACAAATCATGAACCGACATTGCCAATGCTTTTTCTGAAACAATACAATCTTAATGCTCGCATTGAAGAAATAGGAGAGGTATGACGATCACTCACCAGAGAGACAGCGACCAAATGAAACATATACTGATTTTTACTAATTGGAAGGCCCAAATTATAGATCTCCCCAGCATATGAAACAAGTTTGTATAATGATTGATAACATGAGAAGGCAATACCATAACTATCCTTTTTTTTTAGCTATACCATAACTATCTTTATTTCAAAGGGATGCAACTGCAGTTCCTACACTTGATGCTGGATCTCATCCTAAATGGGATAAGTGATAATTCGGTTCAACTTGCTCCTACTGCTAAATCTGCTTCTATATCCTTTTATCATAGGAGGATAATTTGGCCGGTTATTGTTGATTTGAAGGCAGGATCAGGTTTGAAGATTGTTTCAAAAAGACTGTAACTTCTATTTCACAACATTGAAGGGAGGGAAGCACCTTAGAAAGCCTTTTCAAATGCCTCCACGAGGATCAAAAACTCCCTCTAAAAGCTACAGCATCCTACCAATCCTCGCATGCGCTCCTTGGTGGCTTTGCTATCAGTAGTTGGGAGAGGTCCATTATGATTGAGATAGATCATTCACGAACTCCCCTGTCAATTCTGTAAATAGCTGGAAGACTTACTCCTACTGGGCATGTACAACTTCAAGGGATGGACTTGATCGAATGGCCGTTGGCCACCACTAGCAATTCTGGTAGACGACATCAAAATGACCATTATTAGCATGTAGTATATTGGCCCAAGAGCATCCAGAACAAAGTGTATTGGGAACATTCTCTCCCAAGGATATATGTGCTCCTACGCATCAACTCAATCTCTAACCACAAAGCTATGCGTGCCTAATCATAGCCCTATAGACAGCCAAGTCTACAGAATCTCTCTAAGGAGGCCAAGCCAGGTTCCTGTAAGTCAAGTGAGTATGTCATAGCCCAAAAGCACTTATAGTTTGCTATTCACTTGTTCACTTTATTGTTTATGGTTTTTAATTTTTCATTTTACAGTTATTAATCCAGCTCCAGTGGATCTCCCAGAATGGGAAGCTGGATCAATTGCATGATACAGTGTTGAATATGCATAGGATGTGATCTTTTATAGTTCACTGTTGGTGGAAGCCAATGTCCTTGAGACTCATTGCGAGCATGTGCTAACCAACTTACAAGTTCTAGATTTTAGGGAAGCCAAAAAATGTGAGCGCCTAGCACAGCTGCACAAGCCTTATGAAAAAGGCTCCTTGCTAAAGATAGGGTTACTGAAAACTTAAGAAGAGTCATTCCATACATGTACCCTTTAAATGTGCTCAAGAGATAGACAAATGATACTGTTGGAAATTGTGTCTCAAATTCCTATTCTAATTAGAATTCTATTTTAGAGTTGTATTATGTTAGGTAATTTCTTGTTTGGCAAGTCTTGGCCTTTTAAGGAATTGTAATCCTTGTCCAACAAGAAATTGTGTTTGTAACTCTATAAATAGGTACATATGTTGTCTCATGAGAGAGTTGATGGGTAGAGGTAGTATGTGGGTTGGTAGAGTAGGAAAAACATCGGTGACACTGGTAGCGAGGAAATAGACTCGTGGAGTGATACATGGTGAAATGACATGTATGTGGTGCTGGTATTCTATTGTTGTAATATCTCCACGAATCATAGTGTAATCTCTTCTCATCTATGGACGTAGGTCGGTTTTGGATGAACCATGTAACTTTTGTGTTTGTATGTGATTGCTTTGTTAGCTTTCATTGGATTTATGTATCTGTGCACTTCCGCTGCTCCAACAAATTGGTATCAGAGCCAAAGGTGAAGGAAATCTAGAAAACACAAGAAGTCTCAACATGTGCTGCAACGGGCTTCAATTGTAGGTGGAGTCAATTGGCTTGGTTACATGGCATGAAGCTCGAGTAGTCAAGGTGGGCCTTAGAGGTTTGACTAGTCGATCAATGTATAATGTGGACAATTCAGAGTTTTGCAAGAGTATCGTCAAGACCGAAGGTGGAAAAGAATTGTCATGGTCAATGTCGTGGAAGCGATGATTGGCTGGATAGAATTTGAGCCAAGGTGGAGATTGTTGGAAATTGTGTCTCAAATTCCTATTCTAATTAGAATTCTATTTTAGAGTTGCATTCTATTAGGTAATTTCTTGTTTGGCAAGTCTTGGCCTATAAGGAATTGTAATCCTTGTCCAACAAGGAATTGTAATCCTTGTCCAACAAGGAATTGTGTTTGTAACTCTATAAATAGGCACATATGTTGTGAGTTGAGACTTATGAGATGGAGAGATATGTAGTATCACGCGGGAGTTGATGGGCAGAGGTAGTATGCAGGTTGGTAGAGTAGGAAAAACACCAGTGACATTAGTAGCGACTCGTGGAGTGGTACATGGTGAAAAGATATGTGCGTGGTGTTGATACTCTATTGTTACTCTCTTGTTGTAATATCTCTACGAATCATAATGGAATCTCTTTTCATCCATGGATGTAGGCTGGTTTTGGCTGAACCATGTATCTTTTGTGTTTGTATGTGATTGCTTTGTTGGCTTTCATTGGATTTATGTATTTGTGTGCTTCTGCTCCTCCAACAAATACATTTATAGATGCATATATATATATATATATATATATATATATATTCTGACAAAACAAAAAAAGGAATGGAATAGACATCCCGTTAGATTTCTACGTGTCCTTCATAACCACCCAATTATTTTAATGTCACTATATTTTTTTTTTTTTTGATAAGTAAAAATAATATTAAAAAAGGCGTTCAAAAGGAGAACGCGTCCCAATTACAAAAGTGGAACCGGAGCTAAGGCCCCAAAGAATCCAGAAAAGTAATTAAATCATATGAAGAAGAACAAAAGCTCATCTTCACATAATTGAAGAGAGAACGAAGAATGTAAAGTTTGATCGTTTCCGTAGGCGACTCTTTTCCTTCAAACATTCTGCTGTTTCTCTCCTTCCAAATGCACCACCATACGCAATGTGGAACAATTCTCCAGAACTCGCGAACGTTTCTTCTCACTCGACAACCTCTCCAAATATGAATCAATTCCTTAGTAGATCGTGGCATAACCCAACACATGCCAAACAACCTAACAATAAGATTCCAACAGTCAGTCGCCACAGGACAATGCAAAAAGAGGTGGTTAACGGACTCCTCGCCAACCTTGCATAGACAACAGCGATTAACTATACAATTGCCCCTTTTTCTCAAATTATCAATTGTCAGAATCTTTCCCCACATGGCAGTCCAAACAAAGAAAGCCACCCTAGTTGGAGCCATAGACCGCCAAATAGTTTTCCACGGGAAGTCTCGATTAACAAAATTTGACAAACATAAGAACAAAGATCTAACTTCGAAACGACCATGAGAAGAGGGAACCCAACTTAAAACATCATTACCTCTGCCAACGCCCTCCTGTCGATACAGAAGATCCAAAAAAACACATACCTCGTCCATCTCCCAATCCTGAAAAGAGCGCCGAAAATGCACATCCCATATAATCCCGCTGCTATCAAGCCTATAGCAATCGACTATGTAGGCGTGTTTATTAATGGCAATACTATATAATCTTGGAAAAGTACGAGAAAGTGACTGATCCCCACACCAGAGATCTTCCCAAAACCGAATGCAACATCCGTCATGAAGTTTGAATCTGATATGAGCCGAAAAAACATCCCATCCTTTCCGAATAGCCTTCCACATCCCTACTCCTCCCGCTAGGGTAACCGGACGCGTAGACCAACCACCAGCCTCTTCGCCAAACCGACAAGAGACTAGCCTGCGCCATGGTCGATGTCTTTCCCTCCCAAATCTCCATAACCACTTACCCAAGAGAGCTTGATTGAAAGCAGTCCAAACAAAGAAAGCCACCCTAGTTGGAGCCATAGACCGCCAAATAGTTTTCCACGGGAAGTCTCGATTAACAAAATTTGACAAACATAAGAACAAAGATCTAACTTCGAAACGACCATGAGAAGAGGGAACCCAACTTAAAACATCATTACCTCTGCCAACGCCCTCCTGTCGATACAGAAGATCCAAAAAAACACATACCTCGTCCATCTCCCAATCCTGAAAAGAGCGCCGAAAATGCACATCCCATATAATCCCGCTGCTATCAAGCCTATAGCAATCGACTATGTAGGCGTGTTTATTAATGGCAATACTATATAATCTTGGAAAAGTACGAGAAAGTGACTGATCCCCACACCAGAGATCTTCCCAAAACCGAATGCAACATCCGTCATGAAGTTTGAATCTGATATGAGCCGAAAAAACATCCCATCCTTTCCGAATAGCCTTCCACATCCCTACTCCTCCCGCTAGGGTAACCGGACGCGTAGACCAACCACCAGCCTCTTCGCCAAACCGACAAGAGACTAGCCTGCGCCATGGTCGATGTCTTTCCCTCCCAAATCTCCATAACCACTTACCCAAGAGAGCTTGATTGAAAGCAGTCCAAACAAAGAAAGCCACCCTAGTTGGAGCCATAGACCGCCAAATAGTTTTCCACGGGAAGTCTCGATTAACAAAATTTGACAAACATAAGAACAAAGATCTAACTTCGAAACGACCATGAGAAGAGGGAACCCAACTTAAAACATCATTACCTCTGCCAACGCCCTCCTGTCGATACAGAAGATCCAAAAAAACACATACCTCGTCCATCTCCCAATCCTGAAAAGAGCGCCGAAAATGCACATCCCATATAATCCCGCTGCTATCAAGCCTATAGCAATCGACTATGTAGGCGTGTTTATTAATGGCAATACTATATAATCTTGGAAAAGTACGAGAAAGTGACTGATCCCCACACCAGAGATCTTCCCAAAACCAAATGCAACATCCGTCATGGAGTTTGAATCTGATATGAGCCGAAAAAACATCCCATCCTTTCCGAATAGCCTTCCACATCCCTACTCCTCCCGCTAGGGTAACCGGACGCGTAGACCAACCACCAGCCTCTTCGCCAAACCGACAAGAGACTAGCCTGCGCCATGGTCGATGTCTTTCCCTCCCAAATCTCCATAACCACTTACCCAAGAGAGCTTGATTGAAAGGAACTAAACGTCTTATACCAAGTCCACCCAATTTCACAGGCTTACAAACATCCTCCCATTTGATAAGGTGGTACTAGAACTCATCGCCCTTACCACCCCAAAGGAAATCCCTTTGAATTTTTTCAATTCTGTCTGCAATGGAACAAGGGATTTGGAACATAGAGAGAAAATAAGTGGGAAGGCTCGACAAGGTGCTCTTTATAAGAGTAACTTTACCCCCTTTTGACAAGTATTGCTTCTTCCAACCTGCTAATCTCTTCGCGTACCTGTCAATCACAGAATCCCAACTCCCCACTAAACTAGAAGAGACCCCTAGGGGCAAACCCAAATAAGAAATAGGGAATTAGCTCACTCTGCATCCAAGGACTGCAGCTAAAGAGGAAATATCCGGAACATTCCCTACTGGGACAAGCACACTCTTTGTCACATTGACCTTTAGCCCGGAAACTGCCTGAAAACAAGTCAGAACACACCTCAAGTGTCGAAGTTGAGACACATCAGCATAACAGAAAACCAGGGTGTCATCTGCAAAGAGTAAATGGGAAATCTCCATCTGATGGTCTAAATCTCTACCCACTCTAAAACCCTTAACAAAACCAATGTCACTATATTCCCTCTAAAAAAATTGAGATTGAAGAATCATTAGCTGAGGATTTAAGACAGATCTGCAACTACTTCCAAGGGAGTAGAATACATAAAGTTATGGCCCGGATAAAGAAGATCAAACTTTGATGTATAGATATATACCTTTTACTTGAAACCTAAAAAGTCACAAGCCTGAGTGTGGGAACAGACCTTTTTGAGATTCATTTTTATATTCTGGTCTTTCTCTCCTCTCCGTCACTAAATCTCCAGTAACAGACTTGCAACTAGAGCTAGTAGATTCGCAAGCAAAACCGAAAGAGGGGATTCTCTGATTCAATAGCCTTACAACAAAAAGTCCTGCTTAAAGCACTAGCTGAGTTCTGATTTAAAGATTCTTACAAGTTCAGAACCAAAAATGATAATGCGCATGACTTTCACATTCATCAGTAAAGTCAGCCTCTTATAAATTTTAAGACAGGTGCATGACTCTAGCTCTAATCACTAAAGTCCACTTTTATAAATTTACTTCTCTAGTTTGAAACCAACATTAAAGCAACATGGGATCCACTCCGGATTCATTCTTTAACCATGATGATCTGTATTAGTATGATCATTTGATTCAGTAATAGTGGAAAAAATAAAAATAAACAGAAAAGAATAATACTTGGACCATGTATCTGGGGCCAATCTATGATAGAAGACCATAATCTGATTTTCCTTTTTTTTTTTTTAACTTCAAAATGACTCACCTTTTTTTTTTTTTTTGATAAGTACAAAATGACTCACCTTTTACCACACAATAAGGAATTTTTGTTATATTAGAAGTAGAAGTGATGTGGATCATTCAGGAATCGAAGTCAGTTTGCTCTGTAAAAAGAAGATATCAATGAACTTAGATGAAAAGGTTTTACTGGTTTCAGCAAATTTTCTTGATCATGTGACTTATCCATTTTTTCCTTTTTTTAATAAGTTTGTGAGAAATTATAACATTACATAATCAATCCACTTATGTATCCAATCATCTCTAAGAAGACCATCTTGTAACAAAATCAATCCAATAACATAATCCTAACCATTTGCACACTTGTTAATTATATATATTACTTAACACTGATTATTTATTTATTTTCTGAATAAGGAAAACACTTTTAGTTGCTTTCAGGCTGGGCCAGAATGAGCACACGGACTTCAGGACAGGACAGCCTACCCATATGGCCTGAAGATGATACTACAAAAGCTACACTAATTCCTAAGGGAAAAAGAAACAAAATTAAAAAGAAAAAGAAAAAAAACCTAGAAGTCTTCACAAACATCAACTAGAACAATTACTATTCAATAAAAAAGGTTTAATAAGGTAATTTATGTTTTATTGGTCAGTGAATTGAGAAAATGAAAAGGAAAGACTACCTGTTAGGACTTCTGCTTGCCTCTACAGTGATCGCTTCTTCACCTCCGACTCCATATGAAAAAATATGCAAAAGATTGCTAAAATATTAAGAGAAGATCAAGAGTCAATAGATCTGCATGACTTGACATGTAAGATTCAAGAAAAAGCTGCTAGATGACAAGGTTCCCATGTGTTGACATGCACCTCTAGTTTCAGTAGGAAGGACAAACCTATAAGAACCAGTTGCAAAATCAAGTCCATCTCCACTGACGCAGCAGTCAAATTTATCAAATATGGCATCGGTATTATACAAATCAGAAAACTGTGCAATACAAGGTAAGTTGTCAGCTATAGGAAGACATGAGAATGCAAATGGCTTTCTAGTAAAATACAAGGAAAGAAATTTACAAATTAAGAACATCACAGTACATTGCTTGTTTGGAGGATACATCTTTGTCTTGGATTAGGGAATCCTTAATCCGATATGAACCCATTAACCAATCTTTAAGGAATTATGTTCAGGGGCTATCATCAACAGGTGAAGCTCAACACAATGATGTATAGTTGCACCGATGTAATTTACATGCAGTATGCATCCAAGCATTCTATGCATTCCACAAGGACTGCTAAAATAGAGTATTTTGAGTTGTTCGTCTCAACAATGACCCTTTTGAAGCTCTACTTAAGATAGGATGCTTTCAGTTTGGTAGTTTTGGATTTCAACAGTACCAATTCTCTTCAAGAGGCAATGATTTATCTAATAGTAGAACAACTGAGAATATTGACTTCATGGAAACAGGTCAAGAGGCAACTTGACATTGACTTGGTGCACTTTTAGTAGGAAGTTGCAGAACAAAGGTGCTTCTACTTTTGCCTCTCTACTTTGCTGCTTTGGACACCATTACACCAAATGCCAATCCTGACTTTGCATTCTATTGAGCTTGGCCTTACTTTCTATGGCTGATTGTATGCTTTGTATTTTTGTCTTGAGTTTGATTGGGTGGACTAACAACACATGAAGCATTATCTAATATCATTCTTACAAAATGCACCCAAAGGAATTACAATAATATAGAAGAGTAGGATAAAATTTGATAAAAATAAAAATAAATAAATAAATAAAAACTAAGAACTATATTGTAAAATCATTTTTTTTTTTCTGATACAAACATAAGCATGGTCACACATTTCAATATTCAGCACTATGATGTGGAACTTTTCGACATAAATAATAACAGCCTATATATACACATGATGTATGTATAGAACCTATATACCCAAAAGTATAAGCAAAAGAATCAAATATTCAATGTAATCCAAAAGAAGTCCCATATAAAACAGCTCCTTCTCCCCTTGAAGTGATAGCCTATTCCTTTCCCCCCATACACCACATCAAACAAACGATAGCAGCATCATGTGCCTTCTTTTTTTATGTGCCCAACTTTACCACCTCTCCCACTACGAAGTAAACCCACCATTGATATAGGGAACAACCATGTCATCCCAAACAAGACCGACAATAAGATCCAAACTTCTTGAGTTGCTCTACAATGAATTAGAAGATGATCCACCAATATGAGCAGGCGACCACACAAAAAATCCCACCTAGAAGGTACCTTACACCCTTAATACTTTTTAAGGAAAAAGGACCTCATACGTCCACATAAGACCTTGTATATGACTTGCTTAGAAACCTCCCACTCTTTGGAGCTCTTGAACTCACCTCTTTTTTTCACCTAAAGCTCTATCAAGGCCTAAAACTCCCTATCACGAACCGCGCAATGAAATCACCTCCACCCATGCTATTGACAATATGCACAACTGACAACTGCATCCTTTCCGCTCCTATCCCACAAAAGTTTAGAATCCTTTAAGAAATTGAAAATATTATTGGAATAAGTAAAAAGGAAAATTCTATAAGATGGTCATTTTTGGCTAACTACTTATAGAATTGGTAATCTTCAAATGGTATGAGACTTTTTGGGGTGAAACCCAAGAACAAAACCGTGCTGACTCGGGCATAAAGCGGACAATATCATACCACGTGGTGAAGTGGGTCGTTACAAATGGTATCTGACCGGGCCGTAAGTGTGCCGACAAGAACATCGGGCCTCTTAGGGGGGTGGATTGCGGCGACCTTGTGGGCGGGTGCGAGTAACATGTTAGCAGGCTACGGCTGCACGATCCCACATCGCTTGCGTGTGGAAAGGGCAAGTGCTATATATGTAGGATTGGTAATCTCCAAATGGTATGAGGTCTTTGGGGCTTTGCCTTTGATAGCATATATTCTCGGGCCCAAAGGCAATAGATTGGTAATCTCCAAATGGTATGTAGGATTGGTAATCTGCATGACAGAACAAAACCATATATTCTCGGGCTCAAAGCGGATAATATCATAGCATGTGGTGGAGTGGGACGTTACAGAAAACCCACACTGATTTCCCAAAATCTCATCAAGAAAGGCTTTTATCAATTGCTTATTTCAATGCTTTTACTAATGCTAAGCTTAGCCTAAATTTTAGAAAATGGTAAATCAATGAATCGAAAGGTAAGTGGATTTCTAATTTGGAGAAAGAAGAGTCGATTGATATCCCAAACAATCCACGAGTCAAATGAAAGGACTCCTCAACAAGCCATGGTTCTCAAAAGAAGCAAGGACACCATATTAGTGTCTTTGTATCCTAATTTTCCAAAATCAAAAGAATCTAACACAAAAAAATTTGCATTTACACCCTATATGCATTCTCAAATTTAAGTAAGATGAATAGTGGCTTAAACATGCACTTGCACCCTATATGCATAACACATGAATATCTTACCACAAATTCTTAGTTGTGTTCATGATCTTATACGTGTGGCCTTTGTTAGTTATAGAGTTTGAGAAGTTAACGTTATTAACTTTGGAACCCTAATCTAGTTATAAAAAGAGTGAACCGGCAGCCTTTGCACTTCCATTTTAATTATTCTAACCATAACTAACCCTTGTCTTCCATATCTTTTAAACCTCATAACCCTTCTTATTTAACTCTTTGTATCTTTAGGCCGTTTCCCTGATATACAAAACCTTTTGATCGTGAAAAGTCTAGAAAAACTTCAGCAACATATTTTCTGGATACCCAACAACTCATTAGCTCCGAATCCTGGCTAATTCAAACCCCATTTCACCCATAAACCCCAATACATTTCTGCCTCTGCACAAACTACACAAACTACACAACTTTCAAACCTTGACTTGCCCATTAAGTGATTTTTATACAGTATTGACTTTTTGAAGTGTTCTGCAATCTGAACCGTTGTGTTTCTTTGTATAATTGAACTTCTTTGAAGATCAAAATTAATTATGGTCCTCCTCTTGCCACATCATTTATAGCCCAACTTTTCTTGTTGTTGCTCCTTTGCCTCTGCTAATAAATATTCTACCCACTCAGCTCAGTCACCCTTTTAGAACTCACTTTCGCTTCCTCAACTCATAATTTGAAAAAAAATAAAAAAAAGAAGAAGGTTGTTTATTGGACAGAATAATTGACTTGCCAAGCATAAGGATGGGGATTTGAATTTGAGACTTGAGAGCAATCAATTCCGGAAGAAAATGTCAAAGATTAGATCTGTATCAAACCGCACTCCTAGTACATTGCATACCCAAGGCAAACACTGGCTAATGGCCTTCTTTTGGCAACTAGTGAGCCAAAACATTTTTCTTTTTTCTTTTTTTTTTTTGATAAGTAAAATGTGTTAAAGAGCAATTCAAAAGGGGAACACATCCCACAAAAACTACACAAGGCCAAATAGGGCCTCTAAACACTCAAAGAGCTGAAAATATCAACAATCTCCTCCATGGATTTACAATTTTCCCTAGAACCCAACAAAAAGGGTGCTAATAATAGAGAACTTCAGCGCCCCAATAGGAGTTTCCTTTCCTTTGAAAGATCTATTTCTAAGCATCACCAAACGCATAAGGGCACAATCCTCCAATAATCTCGGGCTTGAGCACCCGCTATACACCCTCTCCAAGTCTCCACCAAAGGTCTTAGGGACTTGGGCATAACCCAATGAACCCCAAACAAAGTAATAATAATCGCCAGCTGTCCCAAGCCACAGGGCAAAGCAAAAGAAGATGATCGACCGTCTCCTCATCTCTCTTACACATGCAGCACCAATTGACAACCTGCCTCCTCCTCCTCAGGTTATCCAAAGTCGGAATGCACCCTAACACAGCTGTTGACACAAAAAATGCCACCTTGAGAGGGGCCTTCGAACGCCAAACCGCTTTCCACAAGAAAGGATCCCCTCGAACAACGCATCTATAAAGAGACCGGACATCAAATCAACCCTGAGAAGATGGAACCCACACCCTAGAGTCAAGACACTGCCAACGACCTCCTGATGGTACAAAAGCTCCAAGTTCCCTGGTAATGTTGCTCACATTGACGGTATGCTAAGGGAGGAATAAGATCTATTATAAACGTGGATTAAAATAGTAAAGAAAGATATGATTGTGTGTGGTTAACTGAAATTATTGTCTTAGATATAGCAGAATGGCAAAACATGATTTATGTTGCAAACCTTAAAAACTACGGACAAGGCTTTGTTGAGTAAAGCAGCTTTTTGCCCTACTCCTTATTCAACGATTGCCTTCCTCTTTTGCTCCATACATGCTTCCCTCACTTCCACTGATCACTGTCCACCCACTAGCTTCATACTTGGGGCCAGCCGGCTCAATACAATTCGAGGCCCAAGGCAAAATTTATAGGGTTCCAATAAAATTCCAACGAAAATTCTTGAGTTATGTAGCATTACATTTGGCCCATTATTTTTCATTATTAGTCAGATTTTTTGGGGCTTTGCCTTCGATTATTTTGAGAAATTTTCAAATGCAAACCTTCACAAAACGTATGATTTGAGGAATGAAATATTAGGTTTTTGACAATAATGACACAAATAGTATGAAAAAGTTCAGAAGAACAGGTAATAATAAGTTTTAGGAACTCTAGAATAAAAAAGAAATGTATAAGAAAGGAGATTTTAATTGATATAGAACTTCAAAAAATTTAAGAACCAGAAAATATTAATTTTTTAAAATTCAAAATTTTATGGGTCCACATCAAGAAATTGGAGAATATTAAATCAATAGAAAATTGTCGATGTTGCAGTAATTCATCATCCTTGCCTTTATCCCATACAAACAGGGTTGGCATTGATGTTGCAATAATTGATCTGACAAAACTTTCAAGTGCTGTAGTACTTGGACAATGCCCTCAGAACTAAACAAATTACAGTAATGTCATCCAACTAATATATTATGAACTCCTTAGAAGCCCTAAG